AGCTTTGGCCTTCTATCGTTCAGCCTCACTGCGCTCCAAGCTTCTATCTCTCACCTCACTGCCTCTCTCTCCAAGTTGGATCTACCCCTGAATACCCCCGCATCACTTCGTCTCCCTCGGTAACCTGAGCTTTGGCCTCAAAGCACCGTCTTCCTCCTCTAGGCGCATGCATGCCCAAGTCGCATGATGGCACAAGCTTCCAGCAGCACTCCTGCAACTCGCGAATGAACAACCGAAGGGTTCAATCACTATAGTAGCTATCGATAGGACTCTTGGCTTATGTTGCTTGCCTCGGACCGGTGTAGGGCCCCACCCAGTTAGACTTTCGAGCCTGAGTCAACCCCTTTGCGGGTCCCAGTTGGCTCGACTCCGCCCACGCTCATGCTGAGGGAACGGAGCCATTTGTCACAGGCACACCCCCACCTAGTGCTTCGAGATGGATATGAGTGGGCCAATGAGCGAGAGAGCTTTGACATTGGGTATGTAGCTCAACTTTCTCACTAGGTGGGTAATCTCGTTGATCCTTCGCAAGCGTCCATTCTTCAACGCTTCATTATGTTCTCAAGCAATTGCTCCTTCCAATACTCATGCAGTCCAGGGGTCCTCTGAAAACTTTTCTTTTTATATGCGTAGGCCAAACGTCCTCCTTGGGCCACACATCCATTCACTAATTGCAGGATCTAACGGCTTCATCGAGGTAGAGGAACGCCCCTTATCCTCTGGTCGGCCTATGTGTAGGCTCCCTCTATTTCATGCATCATACATCGCGTCAGGTTGCTTCTCTGTACAACCCTTTAGTCTTTTTGGGGCCCCGCCCCCAGTTTTATGTGACTCGGTGGGCCTCTCGGCCACCCTTTGCTTTCACAGACTTTCAACCATTAAGGCCACCTTTCCTTTCACAAGTGCACAATAGAGTCATCCATGGGGGAAGGTTGCGTTCACAACCCATTTAGCTTCCGTCTTTTTTTTGTCGTCCGGCTTCTCCGAGCCCTATCCAATACTCACCTGCACACTCAATGCAATATAGACAAGCACAACCCCCGTTCGGGGTCAACACATAATCCCACGCACATGCTTATTTTCTTTGTCTTTTGGTTCCTTCCTTCTTCATTTCTTTCCATTGCCCAACCCATCCTCTTTTTTTTCACATGCAGTAAACGTGTTGGTCGAGTCCACTGACCTTTCTTTCACTCAACAAATCTCTCGGAACTTGTCAATCCACAAGTCCCTATGAATCCTCGTCAAGTCCACCGACCTTTCTTTCACTCAGCAAATCTCTCGGAACGTGTCAATCCACAAGTCCCTAAGAATCCTCAAGTCCTTTGTGCCCACAAGCCTTTTCAATCCTCGAACACCTTTTCCTTCTAGGTGGCGCAAGGGGCCGATTACCCTCCCCTTGCCCTCTCTTTCCATCAAGTGAGGCCAGAGTTCTTGCACCATTCATCCTTGGCAATGTGACATGTGAGTGGGGAAGAGTTAGTCACATGCCAAAAGTAAAAACAGAGAGAAGGGTTAAGATTAGGCCTACAGTATGGGATACAGAGATGAGGGGGAGCCAACAACAAGAGGGGGGGGGGAGAGAGAGAGAGAGAGAGAGAGAGAGAGAGAGAGAGAGAGAGAGAGAGAGAGAGAGAGAGAGAGAGAGACAGAGACAGAGAGAAAGAAAGAAAGTCCCCTTACTTCTAATCAAATCTTATCCCCTACCCGTCCTACCGTCCTACCTAAGATCCCCCCTATGTTTCACAATCCCATATTCCGTTGAACATGGTGTCGATCAGCTATTGGGGTGATGGAGGAAGAAGGCGTGAAGATGGTTGGCTATGGCGGATGAGTGAAGATGGGGGAGGAGGAAGAAGGTGTGAAAGTGGTTGGTCATGGTGGACGGGCGAAGGAGGTGGAGGAGGAAGAAGGTGTGAGGTGGTTGACTATGGTGGATGGGTGAAGGAGGTGGAGGAGGAAGAAGGTGTGAAGGTGGTTGGCTATGGCATCTGGCTGAAGAGGATCGAGGAGGAAGAACGTGTGAGGTGGTTGGCTATGGTGGATGTGTGAAGGAGATGGAGGAGAGAGAAGGTGTGGAGGTGGTTGGCTATGATGGATGGGTGAGGGAGCTGGAAGAGGGAGAAGTGTGAAGATGATTGGCTATGGTGGATGGGTGAAGGAGGTGGAGGAGAAAGAAGCCGTGAAAGCGGTTGGCTATGGAGGATGAGTGAAGAAGGTGGAGGAGGAAGATGGTGTGAGGTGGTTGGCTATGGTGGATGGGTGAAGGAGGTGGAGGAGGAAAAAGGTGTGAAGGTGGTTGGCTATGGCGGATGGGTGAAGGCCGTGGAAGAGGGAGAAGTTGTGAAGATGGTTGGTTATGGTGGATGGGTGAAGAGGATGGAGGAGGAAGAGGGTGTGAGGTGGTTGGCTATGGTGGATGGGTGAAGGAGGTGGAAAAGGAGAAGGTGTGAAGGCGGTTGGCTATGGTGGATGGGTGAAGGAGGTGGTTGGCTATGGTTGGCTATGGTGGATGGGTGAAGGAGGTGGACGAGGTGGAGGAGGAAGAAGGCGTGAAGTCGGTAGGCTATGGAGGATGAGTGAAGAAGGTGGAGGAGGGAGATGGTGTATGGTGGACGGGTAAAGGGGTTGGAAGAGGAAGAAGGTGTGAAGGTGGTTGGCTATGGCGGATGGGTGAAGAAGTTGGAGGAAGAAGGTGTGAGGTGGTTGGGCATGGACGCTGAGTAAAGAAGGTGGAGGAGGGAGATGGTGTGAGGGGGTTGGCTATGATGGATTGATGAAGGAGGTGAAGGAGGAAGAAGGTGTGAAGGCGGTTGGCTATGGTGGATGGCTGAAGAAGATGGAGGAAGAAGAAGGTGTGAGGTGGTTAGCTATGGTGGATGGGTGAAGGAGGTGGAAGAGGGAGAAGGTGTGAGGTGGTTGGCTATGGAGGATGAGTGCGGAAGGTAGAGGGAGATGGTGAGAGGTGGTTGGCTATGGTGGATGGGTGAAGGAGGAGGAGAAAGAAGGCGTGAAGGTGGTTGGCTATGGCGAATGCGTGATGAGTATGGAGGAGGAAGAAGGTGTGAGGTGGTTGGCTATGGTGGATGGGTGAAGGGGTTGGAGGAGGAAGAAGGTGCAAAGGTGGTTAGCTATGGCGGATGAGTGAAGAAGATGGAGGAGGAAGAAGGTGTGATGGTGGTTGGCTATGGGGGATCAGTGAAGGAGGTGGAGAAGGAAGATGGTGTGAAGAGTTTTTTAACCTTCCGGTCTCATCCTTCTTGCGATGTCCCAGCGTCCGGACCATCAGAAATCGTAGACTTGTGGAATTCAGATTTGCAACAGAGACTCAGACTTTGCAAAAAATCAGACTTGCGAACAACTCAGACCACTAGAAAACTCAGATTTCTCTCTCTTTTTTTTTTGCTGATTTTTCTAGGGGAGGGAGAGCCGAAAAGCTCAGATTTCTCAGATTTCTATTTTTGCCCGAGGCTCTAAGTTAACCTTTCGGCGACGTCCATTTTCCATTTTTGTGGGAAAATGGACTCGGATGGCTTGGGGATTTTGCAAGTCATCTACCTATGCCTAGGACATGAAGCCTGTCAAATCTCAGCCAATATATCCCTCTATTTCACGGGGTTGGTTTTTTGTGTCCACGACAACGCCGGTTGGTTGGCCGTTTTCGGACCGACTCTTGGCCGGGGTCCTAAATAGCGGTTCTCAATAGCCACAACCAACCGCTTGGCTAGGCATCAGCAGCAGTAGCAGCAGTCTCCTCCTCGTCATCAGCAATAGCAGCAGCCGCAGTCATGGTCTTCTACCTACTCCCCTTTTTCGCGTTCAACTAGAGCACGGGGGGGAGGAACAAAGTGGTGTTCAAATAGAGCACATGTTGGATAAAGTGGTATTGAAATAGAGCACAAGGGGGAGGGGAGGGGGACGCGGTGTTCAAATGGAGCACGAGGGGGTGAACTGTTACAAACACACAACCCTATCATATACATATGGCTGGTGGGGACATCCAAGAGTGAGGTGAAACATCATCCACTGAAAAATTGACAAGATGCATGAGTTATAGTAGACACCATTCACACATGACTAGTGCGGTCAAAGACCCAAGCTGCGATTTCTATTGGAGTGAGGGAATAGATCATGTATGAGGAAAAGGTGACCACAACACTAGAATAAGCAAGAATCCAAGTAGCAATTTACAACTAGGTGGAAAAA